ACATGAAATATGGTGTTTTTCAGAAATATGCCAGATGTGCCAAATACATATGTACACATATTCACGAAATATATTATATAATATAATATATGAAATAGAACGTATATGCGATATTTTATTACATCAGCTATAAATCAACTACTATACACCTGTACAATTCCTTTAATATAGCTACAAACTACAACCACTAACTACAAAATACAGCCAATATGCCTATATAAATCATTTGATAGAACTGCATAATACAGGCTATATGCATATACAATCCCTATTATACAGCCGTGAAATACTGCATACTATATTTCGTAAATATATATATTGTACTTTATATGGCATATTTCAGAAATATGGCATATTTTAGGAATATGGTATATTTATAAAAAAATATGGCATATTTTAGAATATGGCATATTTATGGCATATTCAATTTTTAAATACCAAATACTATTATTTTTGCCATATTTCTGAAATCAACACGCGTATTACGTATTTGTTTTTCCAAATTTCTTATCATATATCATATTATATATTTAACGTTTTCAGTGCATATTTATTTTTTAAAATAATAATATGCCAATTTTTCGCCATATTTATTATCGGAAAATATGTGCTCCTCGGTCAGCAATTGACGCGAAGCATAGCCTTCCTTCGAAAAAAAACACACGTGAAAATTAGGGCAATTCGTGACAGTTAGGCCGCCTAAAAAAATGTACCTATTCATAAACCCCTACTAGGACTATATTTAGGATAAACTTTGAACGTAAACGTTTTTTGCGTTATAACGGGAAACGTAGTGAGGTTAGGTCTACAGTCTACACTCTAAAGACTAGTCCACACTCTGCTCTGCAAGCCAATCCTACTATTTACACTCCAGTAAATACTCCATACTTCACAGTCCGCAATCTATTTACTAAACTTTTACGTTGTTGAGTTTACAGTTTTACACACTCTACAAGAAGAACAGACTATGCTATGTACAGTTGTACGCTACAATTCAACACTCTATATACAGTATGTTTCTACAATGAAAAAAAATTAAATACACAAGAAGAAGTCTGTCTATCATACTTTTTTATATATTTTAAATACAATATTCTTACAGTTGTACACTTGTACTACACACTACATAGTAGTAGAGCTTGAGCATTGAGTAAACTCTACAGTTTACAGTCTACACTACAGAATACACTCTAAATACACTTTACAGGAGGCAATTATTTACTCTCGCAGGCCGCGAGCCCGCGACGTGTAACATCTTACATCAGTAGTTCAGTACTACTGTCAGCTATTTTAATATTTAGGTGCACTGGCCACATAGAGTCATAGACGCAGCCAGGTTGATCATCTGTCAAAGTGTCAACAAGTATCAGGCCTCTCAGGGCTCAGGGCCTCAGGCTCGCAAGCGCTCAGGCCTCAGGCCTCAGGCCCTCTGGCCACTTACATACATAGTCTCGTATTTATCTATTTAAATACTCCATTTACAGAGTAGAGAAACAACTATAACAAGAGACTCTCTCAGTCTCTCTGAGTTCCGAGAGCGAGAAGTATTTATAGAGGAGAGACAGAGAGTCCGTCACTCTGAGTATGAACGGTTTTTCAATATATATATATATATATATATATACGTATATATGGTTTACAGAATTCCTGATTTAGTACATCAAAATGATATTTACTACTGCGCAGTAACAATTCTCAAATCACACCTACATGTCGATTCAACGAAGTACTGTGTTCTGTTCTACTGTGTTCTAAAAAAACATTCTCTTAAAAAAGCAAAAAGAAACCTACTAATATACAACATGGAGGTCATCAGTAGAAAGCTGTCAGCAACGATGTGGGGTACAAAACGTTCTGCAAAAAAGCAAGTGGTATCAAAGGCCAACTTGGACGGATTGATCGCAATCGATATTGACGGTAATGATGCTAATACATTAACACATCTCCGGGCGCAACAATCAGACTCAGGCATATCTAATCCAGTTAATGCTGCTGATAAATCTTTGTATAAAGACGACTTAGTTCCCGAGACGGAGACTGATTCGGGGTACGAGGTTTCTGATATATCATCTGGTAAGTTTATGTAATATTAACTGAACACGAGGTCGGATTTCATGGGATGGGTGGTACTCGCGCCTCGGCTGGGTCGTATCGTATATTATATATATACACGAATCGAGCAAAGGAGAACCTGTTTTTGTGCCTAGATTGGGTAGTCACGTATGCCTATACACAAGTGCACGATTCAACAATCGTTAAGATGTGTTGTAATTAGTGTCCAGTTTGGGTCGTAAACTGTAGGTGCTTGCTCGATGTTACACAATATTCAAGTCTACGTGGAGTACTGCTAATTCTGATAATAGTTCAAGTCCGCTAGAGTATTGCTAGTATAAGTGTTGAGTATACATTTTGGAGACTTAATATTGACTTCTGGACAATTCGGACACAATTGATCGTGTTGGATTGGGGGGGTGGGGGGTTTGGATTTGATTGATAACTTCTGCTCGTCGTGAATTTCTAATAGACACGACGCTGATTGCAATATTGTTTCCTTATCAACACAGAACACAAAGCACTGGGGAGAAAAATTTCCGCGCGAGAGAAGTTCGGTTCGCCCCTGTCATGCTCATTTACACTGTGTAGTTACTCACCATTGCCCGGGGTACAGCACTGTGGTAAACATATACACTTGGATCCCAATTGGTGATGCACAGTTGTGGTATCATGGCAGCAGACAAGATGTCGTCTTAACTGTGTTGGTGAAAGGTTGAGGTTGGTTATACACCACGAAGAGTACATGCACCCTCTTGCGAACGGTACATACAATCGACGGCGCCATTGTAATATGCGCTTGTTTTGACATGTCACATCGCTTCCCTATAAGTTTAGGTCCGTACGATTGTATTCACAGTCACAGCCAGAAATACAAACTACAGTGTCCGTATGTTTGGGGCTTGTGTTCAGACCGTATTCCGAGGTAGGCGATTTTAGTCCTTTATTGTACCTATATGACGATGTACTGTTTATACAGCATTTATAACCCTCCCGTAGCATCATACATTGTCCCTCTCCAAAGGGGTCGTCGACCATGCGTGCTTTGTCATCGGATTCTCCCGCCTATTTGCTTTACACTTGAGATGATGGCACGGATAGGCTGTAAGAGCAGCCGTAGTTGTCAAGGGGACCGAGTATATGGCTCAAAATCAGTCGTTCGTGTGCATAGGCGGGGATGTTTGCTTACCGGTAACTGGTATTTTTTTTTTTGCGCATTTGCGTATATCGATTTCTGAGAGCGAGGAGAACTCCGTGAGGATTGCGCGAATAGTATGGACACGAAAAATCGATTGTAATAAATTGAAGGGCTGCCTTTTTTTTATTTCGCTTGTTTTGGCTCGTGATCCGTCCCAGAAGACAAAAATTACTCTGTTCCACCATTGTCAAGCGGGTTACTTAGCAACGGGATTTACAAGCGGGGAGAGACTTCTAACAAACCATAAACTTTGAATGGGTATTGATTAAACCCACCCATGTAATGATATATATCTCCCCACTGTACCAGACCAGCCTTAAACGTAGGCGGGCTGCAACGATGATGACTGCGTTGGAAATTCGGTGCAAATTGAACCCGACATGTGCTTCAGAACGACCCAGTACTGTGCGCTGAGATATCATCTCGGTAGCGCCGGGGCCTTCACAGGCGAGCTCATAGGTTTGTACATAGATTCGCGCATGTTTGATTGCTTACCGATACTTGATTATAGTGCTAGGCTTATAAGATCAATATGACTCCGGGACCAAATAGTCGCCGTCGACTACAGACAATGTCGTTCAGAAGCTTAACTAACAACTAAAAGGTGGAATATTCAGTCGCCGAAGTTATTGTAATACACCTAATGAAATAGGTCAGTACTGGTCGGAGAAACTTGGGTCTTAGTCCTTATATTAGGTATCTTATACATAAGTACATCACAGTCAATGTGATGATTATACCTGCTATCAATATTATCTTGTCCGAGTCTTTCCTCCGATCGATTAGTTTGAGAACCGACTGTGACAATCCTAGCGTACTCGCTATATCCAGAATACGTCTCTGTGCGCCCTGTGATGATGGTGTTGATGTAGTTCTTTAAGTACAAAGTCTTTATGTACGCAACAAAAACCTTGTGCGTAGCGAGTGTCTCAACGTGTCCAATCCTATGTCATCGGAAGCATCCAGTGTGTACCGGAGGGTATCAGATGTGAACTATGGCCAGAAGTGGAACGTTCAGTGGGCTACTAGCAAGACATGTGAATGTCTTATAAATAGAGAGACACTGCAAATCTATATACATACACATAAAAATAGACACATATATATACATATACATACACAGACATAGACACATACATATACATATGCATGTCCACGTCCAAAAGGACAGCGCAAGCACACAGAAGTTAGGAGCATAGCTATAGTGATTGGAAGTGCACGCTACACAGATCAAACTGCCCCACTAGCATGGGAGTGTCAATGCAAGGAACGAAAGGCAAGCATCAGACAAAGCAGGCTTGGTGCAAGTACGGGGCAACGGACAAGACGATACAACACACAGGACGCAGGATACGAAGCAACATACTTTCAAGGTTTTCTTCTGTAGCAGCAAGTCGGCCATAACATTACTGCCCGCGCCCAGGAGTTCATCCATGCCCCTGTTGGCCTCTTGAAGACCCCCGTTCTCTCGTGCCATGGCCTCCTCCATTAAAATGCTCGTGTCTGTGTTCTGGACAAAAAGGACAACACAGCAACCAGCAGTGAGGTGCGCGAAGGAAGCGTTAATTGAGAGGTAAACGTTGATCGTATGTTCACGCCGTTATTCGGAGATGTGTTTTAGTAACAATACATCACAACCAATACGCACAGCCGTATCGGACAGAGTGCATGCGTGATCATTTCTGCGCAACTGCATCCGGCATATGATACCTGTGGCGAGAAATCCATCCCTACACGCGCATCTGTACCCTGTATCCCAATATCATAGCTCGCTAAGCCGATGACTACTTTGTCTATTAGAACCGCGAGGATGTTACAATAGGCATAGGGTAATTGCATGGCGAAGACATACCGGTGTAAAGTCAGTGTTCATCAGTAGAGCTTCCCTTTGCCTCCGCTCATGCGATTCTTGGTCACGTTTGTAGATGTAATTGTTGTAGGATATCTGTAATCGTTGCACATCCAGGGTGATCTGGCGAGCACGGCTGCATTATGGATAAAATTTGCAGCCTTAGTAACAATAGGAATGCCGCGCAATTGGTAAATTTGCACATTTGTACAGTGTCACGAACGTATATCGATATTGATGCACGCAAAAGATCAGAACATATTGACACATAAATAGATATCTATATACATACATATATATATATATATATACATATATATATATATATATATATATATATAAAACAACACACACACATATATATATATATATATATGTATATGTACATGTATATATATGTATGTATATATATATGTGCACGTTACG